CCCAGCAGGTTGAGGCTGCGGTGGCCAGGAGCGTGCCACTGCACTCCAGTCTGAGCGACAGAGTGAGACTCCAACTCAAAAAAAAAAAAGATTATTCTACTACATGTGAAGTAGTGTAACATTTCTTCAAGGTAGACTTGATCAGTTAAAGAGGTACACTATAAGCTGGGCATGGTGGTGCGTGCCTGTAGTTCCAATGACTTGGAAGACTGAAGCAGAAGGATCGTCTGAGCCCAGCAGGCTGAGGCTATGGTGGTTGGGAGTAAGCCATTGCCCTCCAGCCTGGGTGACAGAGTGAGACTCCAATGCAAAACAAAACAAAAAAGAGGTACACTATAAACCCTAAAGCAACCATGGAAACAAAAACAAAGAGCTATAGCTCATAATCCAACAAAAGAGGTTAAATTAAATCTTAAAATGTTCAATAAATCCAAAAGAAGGCCTGGCAGCGGCCATGGAGTCTGCACAGGATTTCTGAGGTCCCAAGCATTGAGACCATGACCTAGAAGGGAGGAGCTGGGCTTCAGATGGGCATCTCTTGGCCCACAGCCTCCCTGCCCTTCCGGAGAAAATTGCTAGAGAAGACCAGAAGAGAGGTCTTTATGTATTTAACTTATTTTTTTTGAGTCAGAGTCTCAGTTCGTCACCCACGCTGGATTGCAGAGGCACGCTCATGGCCACTGCAGCCTTGACCTGGCTCTGGCAATCCTTCTGTCTCAGCCTTCCAAGTCCCTGGAACTACAGGGATGCACCACCACACTCGGCTAATTTTATAATTTATTGTAGAGACGAGGTCTTGCCAAGTTGCCCAGGCTGGTCTCAAACCCTTGGGCTCAGACAATCTTCTCGCTTCCGCCCCCCAAAGTGCTGGGATTACAGATGTGAGCCACAGCACCCAACCAGGACTGGAGGTCTTTAAAGCAATGCTAGTCTGCAAGGAGATAAGACAAAAACTGAGAATCAGTTCTGTAGAAATTCAGCATGGCCACCAAATCTCCTCATGGGATTATTTTTCTAGCAATAAATGTCTATTTAATTTGACAAAAGCAATGTCTTTAATGGATGAGACAGAAACAAAAAAACAATAAAACAAAAAAATGGATCCCTCTTCAAACATAAATGAGATACTGCTTGAAAACATGTAGCTCTGAACAACTTCTCCCAAGCTAAGGTGACACATGCACAGGGTTCAAAAGGCAGAGTTTGAACCTAAGCAAGACTGGTTTTGAATTAAGATAAGTGTAGGGCATACCTTGTTAGAAAATATTTCTGGCCAAGAGATTTCAAGCATAATCTGATTGAGCCATGTTTGTATCTTTCTGGGTCATTCTGTGTGGAGTATTTGCTGCATTTAAAGTAGTGATTGTGTGTAAGCAGGATTCCTCTGCAGATGGTTGTCCTTCCCACTCAGAATTTGAGAAGAGTTGCTCTGTGGGTGTGTGTGTGTGTGTGTGTGATTGTGTGTGAGGAAATGTTTGTAGAAAAAACTGTGGCCTTTTTTCTTCATTTGAATGTGAGAACCGTGGCAAGACCATTTTTCCCTGTAACTCCAGTCGCTCCTGAGACGTTGAATGAACACAACAAACCAAACTGGGCAACTTACCTTGTGCACACAGGCCTTTGCATTCAGGAAAAACAGCTCCACGGTGGTTTTATCCTTTAAAAACGATATGCTCTCAATGTAAAACCTGAAAAATAGCACAAGAGTTTGTTCCTTTAGATTTTTTCCTTCTCTCAGTATTCCTCATTCAGCGTTTCCCAAAAGCAGAAACAGAATTTTGAGAAACTAGGGTAGGGTTGTGCTTTCTTTTCCTTTTTATTTTTTTATTTTTTTGAGTTGGAGTCTCACTCTGTTGCCCAGGCTGGAGTGCAGTGGCACACTCATGGCCATCACAGCCTTGACCTGCTGGACTCAAGTGATCTTTCCTCCTCAGCCTTCCAAGTAGCTGGAACTACAGTCATGCACCACCATGCCCAGCTAATTTTTCTGATTTATTGTAGAGATGAGATCTCACCAAGTTGCCCAGGCTGGTCTCAAACCTGTGGGCTAGGGCAATCCTCTCACCTTGCCCTCCCAAAGTGCTGGAATTATAGGCATGAGCACTGTACCCGGCATTCTTTTTTATTTTTATTATTAAAATGTTTAGGCCGGGTGCTGTGGCTCAAGCCCGTAATCCCAGAACTTTGGGAGGCCAAGGCGAGAGGATAACCTGAACCTAGGGGTTCGATACCAGCCTGTGCAACTTAGCAAGACCTCATCTCTACTATAGATTAAACAAAAAAATCAGTTGGGCATGGTGTCACACGCCTGTCGTTCCAGTTTCTTGGAAGGCTGAAGTGGAAGGATTGCCTGAGCCCAGTGGGTCAAGTCTGCAGTGGCTATGAGCATGCCACTGCATTCCAGCCTGGGTGACAGAATGAGACTTCAACTCCAAAAAAAAAAATTTTTTTTCAGCCTCTGTCTGAGGGGATCTTTTCCTTTTTTTTTTTGAATTGGAGTCTCACTCTGTCGCCCAGACTGGAGTGCAGTGGCCGCTCCTGGCTACCGCAGACTTGACCCACTGGGCTCCGGCGATCCTTCCGCCTCAGCCTTCCGAGTAGCCAGAATTACAGGTGCGCGCTACCACGCCTGACTGATTTTTGATTTATTGTAGAGATGAGGTCTCGCTGCCCAGGTGGGTCTCGAACCCGCGGGCTCAGGCAATCCTCACCTCAGCCTCCCAAAGGCGTGGGATTACAGGCTGAGCCACCGAGCCCAGCTGATCTTTTCCTTTTTAAAAGAAATCTGCAACACACATATGTACATTATGGATGTTTGTGTATGGTACATATACCTGAAGATAAAATCTCTTACAGGTTGTTTTTGTGTGTTGGAAAGTGAGTTCCAAACCCCAAATGGTATCCAGCCGCGAACAGAAATACATTGGCATTGCTCATTCTTTGAAACACTTTCTGGGAGCTCATAATACCTCAGACAGCGTCAAAACAAAAGCCAGGTGAGCTCTGAGAGTTGAAAGCTTAAGTCAGCTGAACAAGCACTATATAAACGAACCTTGAGGCCTGCTAGAGAGGTTTTTTTTTTTGGTGGTTTTCAGACTCACGAGTCTGGCGGGGTGGGGGTGGGGAGGATGCCCACCTCACCTCTGTCCACCAGGGGAGTTTTAGTTACACCCTCCCTCCTTCCCTCTTATCTTTGCAAGCACTGGGCTTTCCCTTGGCTAAAAGCCAATCTCTCAGCAGCCATCAATTTTGGTCTTTTCTCATGCAAATCAGGTCATTGTGGGCCTCACGCCCCCACCACCCTTCTAGGATTTTGCTTGTTCAATGTGTGAGATCACAGGTTGCAGGCCCCCCGTCTTAGGAGAGCTCTGACAGCTCCATGAAGGGGATGGGAGGAGGCTGAGTCTCTAGCAACTGTTTTCATAATCCTGTAACGACGAGGCTGGCCTGTAAAGGTTGGCGCTCTGTGGTGGTGGGCCGAGGCCCAGAAGTTTTCCTGAAGTTTTGCAGCCTCTCTTGATGAATAATGCATGAAGAGCCATAGGGCCCCAAGGCAGCTCACAGCTTTGAGCCCTCAAAGAGAACTTTCCCTCAAATTCTGAGTCAAGGTAAACCAGGCCTAAAATGATAGGTGAGCCTATCCTTAGCTCTGCCAAATCATGTTAGGACTTGGGGCATTTGATTCATTTGTTCACCCTTTCAACAACGATGAAACAGTTGACAACAAACACAGCTGAAAAGGCTGTAAAAGATTTTATCACTGAGATGGTAAAATCATTTGAAAAATTTCACCCTTAGCTGCACCTGATGGCTCATGCCTGTAATCCCAGCACTTTGGGAAGCAAAGGCGAAAGGATTGCCTGAGCCCAGGGATTTGAGACCAGCCTGAACAACATGGCAAGGCCTCATCCTACAATAAATCAAAAAATTAACAGGGCATAGTGGCACATGCCTGTGTTTCCAGCTTCTTGGAAGGCTGAGGTGGAAGGATCGCCTGAGCCCTGCAGGTTGAGGCTGCAGTGGCTATGAGCGTGCCACTGCACTCTAGCCTTGACAACAGAATGAGACTCCTACTCAAAAAAAAGAAAAGAAAAGAAAAAATCACTCCTAATGTTGAATCATCAAGGGAAGTTCCAGAGAGATAATCAATCCTTTACATTTTTACCTATCAGTGTTTATTTTACTTATAACTGAGATTATTGAAGACTGAGAAATGCTATATTTATGAGAAGAGAAAATTAAATACAAATGCTGTGGAGGAAATAAAGAGTAGGGGGAAAATAGACTTTGGAATCCAGAAAGATTAAGAATATGGCATCTCAGCTCTACTGTGTATTATCTGTGAAGACGGGCAAATTACTTAGCTTCTTTGTATCTTTTCTAAAAGATGGGTGTGATAACTGGACTTACCTCTGAGAAAAACAGTATTTTTTTCTGAGGAGTGTGAGTTCATTTAAATTATCAGGCCTACAGAGGACACTTGAAACTTGAAATTGCTTGCAATTGCCACAAGTAGTTATAAATTCACTTAATGCCACATCAAACACCCTGACCTACAGTTGTTAAACTATAGCTTAACAACGCATAGTCAATCATGAATCAATGTTATTTCTTTTTCTTTTTCTTTTTTTTTTGAGTCAGAGTCTCACTTTGTTGACCAGGCTGGAGTGCAGTGGCATGGTCACAGGTACCGCAGCCTCAATCGGCTGGGCTCAGGCGATCCTTCCGCCTCAGCCTTCCAATTAGCTGGGTCTTTAAGCCTTTTAAACAATGTGAAGTTTGCCAAGGTTCAATAGTTAGAATTTCTTGAAACCCTACTACATGCCAGGCACTGTACTAGGTACTTCACATATAACATAATTCACTTAAATCATATCACAGCTCTCCTAGGTAAGCATTATTATCTCTGTTTTAGAGACAAGGAATCTTGGACTCAGAAAGTTTGACTTCCCCTAGGCTTCACAGCTCCAAATTTCAGAAAAGGATTTTATTAGTAATTGTTAACTTTTTTGAGTGTTTTACATAAATTATCTAAGTTAATCCTTCTAAAATCGTATGAGGTATCAACCTAAAAGGGAGAGGCTAAGCACAAAATATAATTTAAAAAGTTTACTTGAGCCAGAGTGAGGACAGCTGCCAGAAAGACCCAGACCAGGTAACCTTGGGTAAGAGTTCCATCCAGACTTTTTTACAAGCAGGGTGTGTGTGTGTGTGTGTGTGTGTGTGTGTGTGTGTGTGTGTGTGTGTTTTGGGGGGGGAGTTGGAGTCTCACTCTGTTGCCTGGGCTGGAGTGCAGTGGCATGCTCACGGCCACCGTAGTCTCAACCTACTGGCCTCAGGTGATCCTTCCATCTCAGTCTTCTAAGTAGCTGGAACTACAGGCATGCACCACCACGCCCAGTTAATTTTTTTTGTTTATTTTAGAGATGAGGTCTCGCCAAGTTGTCCAGGCTGGTCTCAAACCCATAGTTTCAGGCAATTCTCTCTCCTGAGCCTCTCAAAGTGCTGGGATTACAGGGTTCAGCCACCGAGCCCAGAACAAGCAGGTTTTTAAAGGCAAAAGAGGGAGACAGGTTCAAGCCTGTAATCCCAGCACTTTGGGAGGCTGAGGTGAGGGGATTGCCTGAGCCCACGCGTTCGAGAACATCCTGGGCAACTTGGTGAGACCTCATCTCTACAATAAAACAAAAAATTAGCCAGGCGTGGTAGCTCATGCCTGTATTTTCAACTACTTGGAAGGCTGAGGTGGAAGGATTGCCTGAGGCCAGCAGGCCGATGCTGGGGTGACCTTGATTATACCACTGCATTCCAGCCCAGGCAACGGAGTGAGACTCCAACTCAAAAAAAAAAAAAA